TAAACTTCTAACTAATGGGTCCAATACACACGCCCAAAACTGTGTGAGAAACAACCCATTTAAATCAGAACCAACTTCGCAACTTCACAAGAATGGCTTTTTAAGACGAGGCGAATTGGGTGAGCTCTATGTGAGGTACGATATCGCTCTATTTGCCTGTTTTGCGGAATGCGATTCTTTTCCTTCTCCCTTTTTCTCGTCAAATCTATGCTTTGCGAACTATATTTGAATTTTTTGCGCCACTAAAGCCTATCTTTTTTTAAATAATATATTATAATGGTTAAGATTGCATTTTATGGGATACATAGAAAGTTATTTTGATATATATATTTATAACTTGGCAATTTAAAGCTTCTTTGAATTATTTAATAGTTGATAATATATTAATTTAATTTACTCTTCTACTTTTCATTTAGAAAATGTTGCAAATATTCTGTAAAACGGGCAAATTGCAAATTGTTATCATATCATGCTACTTTTATGACGTGTCAATTAGAGATCAAATAACCAAAATCCTATTTTTTTATTAGAATTTAGTTAATCACTATATTTATGATCTTATATAGTGCCCCTCCCAATTCTGCCCCTTAATTCTTTTGGAAATTGACATGGGCACATTTTATATGTTACACAAATATCATATGTTTTATTATTTAAATATATGCAATTTTGTCGCGAATTTTGTTACGAGTTTAATATACAAGACTACCACACCATTAAAATATTAAACAAAAGGAATTATATTGTAAAAAGCGAAAAAGTATATTTGTAAATAAAACGTTATACATTTATCGTTGATATAAACGTGATATATTTATATCATCGATATAATAGATACCAATTGGCTATATGTTTGTATATTTGCTAGAATATTATATACTTTTCTTTATTGAAAATGTAATCAATGACAATACAATAATTGGTTGAAATACTTATTACTTCTTTATGTTATTCTATACTAATTAACAATGAATGCATATGTTTATTAGTTTTAGTTATTTTATTGTGAGCTTAATTTTTTGTGTACGCAATGTTTCTTAATTCTAAACTTGGCAAATCTAAAAAAATTAATTTGTATTGAAAAAATATAGAAGTAATGTGACAAAAATTCACTTTTTAATTTAAATTGAAACAAAAATATATTTTAACACAGAATACATTGCCAAGTTTAGGCTTTAATCAATAAATTATTTTTTGCAATTATTATATAGAAAGTGTATAACTAGATTGGTTTTCAATTCATTTTTCGTTGTAGTTGACAGTACTATAAAGTAGTGTTAGTTACTCAAATATCTCATATATTTTACGAATAGGAGTGGTCTGTTAAACTTCTGCGCGGTAGCGTTAGCTTTGAATGACTTGGGATACAGAGCTATCGGCATCAGGATTGACAGCGGAGATTTAGCGTATCTTAGTAACGTGGCAAGAGATATTTTCGAGAAAATTGCTATAAAGTACGATATACCATGGTTTGCAAAATTGATGATTTGTGCGTCCAACGACATCAATGAGGAGACTATAATAAGTTTGAACGAGCAGGTAAAAATTTATAAATCGCGAATGTAAAAAATATATAATTCATAAAAATATGGTACTTTCCAGAGCCATAAAATTGATTGTTTTGGAATTGGAACGCATCTCGTAACATGCCAAAGGCAACCGGCTTTAGGGTGCGTTTACAAAATGGTCGAAATTAATGATGAGCCGAGGATCAAGTTGAGTCAAGAGGTCGGAAAGGTTACAATACCAGGCAGAAAAGATGCTTATAGATTGTACGGGTCGGATGGCTATGCATTGATAGATCTTTTGCAGAAAACAACGGAAGAACCACCTCAAGTAATGCAGAAGGTTCTTTGTAGGCATCCGTTTCAGCAAACAAAAAGGGCTAATGTTACACCATCTCGAGTAGAGTCTCTGCATAAGGTAGGTATCATCTGATTAAAATAAAAAGAATCCTATAATGTTCAAATTATAATACATAACATATTATAGATGATAACGTATAAATGTTTAAAATTTTGCATTCGATACAGTTTAGATTCCTTGATCAATTTATATTAAACTTTTTTCGTGGAAATTCGATTACTTCATTGTGCTTTTTGATTTATATAAACTATTTATCAATTATTTTATAAACGGATTTATATATGTTATTATTGATATATTACTGACGTTAATAATATTTACGATTTATAATTAATAAATAAAAATATTTTTCAGATATACTGGAAAGATGGCAAATTGTGTCAACCATTACCTACTTTGCAAGAGGTTCGTAATAGAGTGCAAGAATCTCTCAATACATTGCGCAACGATCATAAAAGGAACTTGAATCCAACACCATATAAGGTAAAAATTTATAATTAAAAAATTTGTTTAGATTTTTTTTAACTTAAAATTGTTCGCCTAATATTTTGAAATTTTTAATTCAGATATTATTAAAATAGATAGCTGCTTCACGAAAATTTCGAAAATATACGATAAATTATATAATTATGTCTTCTTTGTTAATGTCTGTTACAGGTAGCTGTCAGTGATACTTTATATAGATTTATAGACGAATTATGGTCTCAGAATGCACCGATCGGAGAATTACGGTGAAGCATACTACTCTTATACAAGAGTATCGTTAAACTAGTCTCTAGTAATTATAAATACAGAGTAATAACAGAATCAAGAATCACAGATTTGCTAACGAAATGCATAATGTCTTCTTTTCTCCGAGAACAATGTAAGAGCAACATACCGTTGCAATTGAGCATACTTGTATGCATCATAAACAATTATATCGTAGGATATGATTACAAGAGAGAGAAAGAGTGAAGATCCTAAAGAGCATATTTTTTACATTTTCCATTGTTGAAATTATCGTATTATCACCATCGCAACAGTATATTTTGATAAATTTTGCGCAAATCATATTACAATATATTTGTATAGTTTTACACGATTTACATAGAGCGAGATGTTCCGTTACAGAAATCTATTTTCAAGTAGTAGCTTCGTGGCGCACACACATACACGTATTCTTATTCCTATTTAAAAAAAAAAGTACAAATTAGTGTACAAAAAAAGGTACAATGTGTGTGTATATGTACGTATGTATGTATGTGTGTGAGATTTTAGGCATACACAAAATTTGAATAATGATTAAAACCATAGAAGATAAACTCTATAGATTAATGTAGAGTATATGTGTGTGCTTGTGCGTGCATGCGCGCGCGCGCGCGCGCGCGCGTGTTATATACACGGTTAAAAATACTTCAAAGAATAGCAATATACTTATGGTAGTATAATTGTTTCACTAAATTTTTATTATTTTGATCACATTATTGTTGTGTTGCTGGTCTTCCTCTTCTTTTTCTTTTTTTTCTATTTTTTCCCACTCTTTTTAGATTGTTCTATTATATATATATTTGTAAATTCTAATTGTATTATTATTATTCTTATGTTGTATTTATATAATTGCTGAAGACTGCTTTAACAATATTTTCGTATAAGAGTGATACATTCGATATATTTACTGTTGTTATTTACACAAATGTACAAAGATAGGCATAGTAATTAACATAGATATTTATAATTTTACACGCGTATGTACAATATGTATAAAGGTCTGTACTGATGTATACATATATTAAGAGAAGAAAAAAGAGAGAAAGGTAAAACAGAATATGTGTTAGACTTTAAATTAATATTTGATAATTAATGAGCTAAACTTAAAGATAAATTCTGTTTATTATCTGTAAGCTTAATTAATTAATATATATAAATAGTGCCTCCGATTGATTTTATCCGAATCTTTTATTTAGGAAAGATCTTATTATATATTTATCATTCTTTGAATAGTTTTTAACATTGCTACAGTTAAGATTAATTTACAATTAATTTATGTTTTTACCTTGTTTTTAATCATAATTGTCTACATATTTTCAACATAGAACTATTATCGTTTTGTAACACTCGTTTATGAACACACACACACACACACAAAAGTATAATTGTGTAAAATATACCCATGTTTTTTTTATAGTAAGAATAAATAGCATATAGCTGTTATATATGTTTGATTATAATTAAACCCTTATTATCCATTCTGCTCTCCGAAATATTTTCTGGAGAATCTTTATAAGTTTTTAATTTGAATAATGGTATATTAATACAAATATTTTCTTATTATTTAGAAGTGAGAAATTTTTCTGACTATTATTAGTTACGATATCTTTTACACGAATATGTACCGATATATTTCTATTTTATTAATGTTCAGCAGACTCAACAGTTTTGCAACCGTTTTATGATTCGTCTCGCTGATTGGATTATACTTCTAAATCTAAAGGAATAATCTTATCTAAGCGAAGAATCATAAAACAGTTGTAAAACTGTTGATTCTGCTGAACGCGATCAATGTCTATAGGCATACAGTAAAGTAATACACGTTGGAGTGTACTAATGAAAAGATGCGTTGTTGCTGTGAGAAATATGAACATTTTCGAGGAAATTATGCTATGACAAGTGCTTGCTGGTCGTTTCAGATAATCGTGTTTGTTTCGAAGATAGTTACGACCTGTTAAATAAATAAAACTAAATTAAATTAAACGTACGGGAATAAATTTGAGGTTATGATTAAGGTCAGTGAACGATTTTACATGCTGAAAATTAATAAAATGTTTGTTGATTTTTAACAATGTCATTATAATTAAATTATGTATCTTTATATTAAAAAAGAATTTTTTCTTAGCACGTAAATGAATCATATTAAGAATCGTGTTAAGAAAATTTTATCTGATAAATTTATTATTTTTCCAGAAATATAAATACGAGGAGAAATTATATAAAATGAAGAGATTCATGCTCGAATAAGTGTCTAAAAATTGGTTCTATACATACGTCTAAAAAATTGGTTTTATATATATTATAAATTTAAAGAGACTATTCATCGATGAGGTATGCCTCAACCTCAACATATAAAAACTTGCCTGAAAATTGTTAAACGATTATGTCCATTGGTGACATTAATTTCTACTATATTTGTCATTGCAATTACAATTTACATTAATGAGAAGGTTTCGCCAGTCTTCGTCTTCCTCTGCATGCAAGTATATCTCAACTGGTATTCGGTGTACAACATCAGCTGTAAGTCGAATCCAATGAAGATTAAAGAGATACAGAGTAACTTGTGTAGCGTGATTACTCAACAGCGTAAAGTCGACCAGGCCAACATTATGCAACTACCTGTTCACAACACAACCTACAAGTTCTGGCACTGCGAGAAGTGTCAGAGCTACATGTGCAAACCAACGCAGCACTGTGTCTTCTGTAAGAAGTGTTTTCACTTCAAGGATCATCATTGCTTCTTCCTAGGTGCCTGTATACTTCGCCAGAACATGGGCAACTTTATCCTATTTTGTTTCTATACCTCGCTGACATGCTTGTACTCCTTGTGCATACTGGGTCCATACATGTATGAGAACATTAATCATATAGTGAAAAGCGATGCGGATTATTTCAATATATTCCTGAACTTTTGTTTCCCTATTGCCCTGATGAGACTGTTGCGTTCCAAAGGTAGTTCCAGTATACTTTTAGTCACAATATTTGATACGCTGATGTCGATTCTGTGTATCTGTCTGGTGTTTGGCATATGGAAGTTACACAGTTGTTTAACCGGCAAACAACGTTACGTTAATGTGACGGGAAGACAAAATCTAAAGGAGATCTTTGGAAGTTACGGTCTATCAAATATTATCTTTCCGTATAACGGTCTTGTAGGCACGCGAGATATCAATGGCAAGTACGAACTAAAGGAAGTATGAAATTAATCGAATAAACAATGCAACTTGATTAAATTTAATAAACACATATTTCTATATTATATACTTACGTAGCAATAAATACAGTCATACATACAACACATTTATGCATTCATACATGACAGAGAACACGAATGTGAGCGCATTTTACAATTACCGAATATTCTAGGATATTAATAAAGTCTATAGATAGATACGCTTCTTTAATGTTACAACTTTTTTCTAAACTTGTGACTTTTGTAATTACAATAAACTACTTTTTGCGTATAACTTTTCATACAAGAGATAGCGGAAGTGTTATAGTTAAAGTATACTTATAACGTGTAAATTCAAATATTATAATAAATAATTTTATTTCTTATATGATTAATTCAGAAATTAATGTTTGTTGAGGCTAAGTTAATACCTGTAAATAAATATTCGATATAAAACGTATTGTGTTTGTATTTATTTTGTTTCTGTAATAATCATTTTCGGATATATGCTTTATATTCTCGGTTCGATTTGCTTTACATGTATGTTCAACAGTGATATTATACTTATCTTTCTAAATTATATTTGGTATACTTTATGATTTTAATTTATTTAATTACTTATTAATTTAATTCATATGATTATCATAAATGTGAAAATTTTTAATATAACAATAGTGTAAAATGTAATAGCAAAACTGTAGATACATATTAAATTTCAATTCAATATAGTTGTATTCACAAATTTTAAGCAATTGATTCTGTAATTTTTTTCTCAAATAAAATATAATATTAATGTTACTCTGAAAATTTCGAAAGCGCAGCTTTATAATAAATATACTGAACTTGAGCTTTGCAACACATATATACATGTCTTATATACCAAATTAAATTACCGTTATAATAATTGTTTTATAATTCTGTATGTGGATAATGCTGTGCTTTGAAATCATTCGGATGAATAAACAATCCTTCCATCACTGACCATTGTGTATGAGGACTGTTTGAAGAATATTCACCTACTACTTCAGTCTGGCCACTAATTGGAGTACCATAAGTTCTGCCACTAACAGCCAAGTACCTAAACACATAATATTATTTAAATAGCTAAACAGTATCATCTTTCATCTGTACTGAAAATCCATAAAGAATTTTCTACACTGTCTGAAAATCTATAGGATATATTTACTTGTCTGTATCAATGTGCTTCAACATAATTGTATCATCTCTTTCCCAAAAATCATTGTAGCATATTAACATCCAATTATCACCAGTGTCACCTTCTCCTTTGTGATCTCCATAGGCGGAAACCTCCTGTTTTCCAGTCAGGGGTGAGCTAACAAGATGCGAGTGAAGATTCTTTTTTGTCACGACATGTTCCAATCTGATAATATCTCCGCATCTAATCGGTCTCCTATAGAAAATGTTACAATATGTTTATGTATAGGTAAAGATAATAATCAATATATGTGAGTATAACTATAGCTCACCCTCGCATGCATTGCTTTCCTGATTCTGCTTTAATAAGCCAGTAGGAATTACCATCTTCTTTGGCATTGGTACCTGTTACGGATTGTTGTCCACTACCACTACCATACTTTACTTCGTGAGAGTGTAATCTTACATTATAGTCTACATTCATTAACTTTAGTATAGAGCCACATGTTACATGTTGGGTCCCTTTAGCTGTAAAATGTATATATCAAATTGAGATATAGTTGACAAAGATTACAGTGTTCCAGATTAAGATACTGAGATATCTTGCTAATTATACTATAAAAACATTTATTAACAATTAAAAATATCTGGCATTAATTATAATGCGGAGATCAATGAACACAAATAAACTCAAGCCAGAAATATATACATTAATAAGATACGCGACGAATATGACACTTCAGTGATGGAAATAACATAACCTACATTGACTCTACATTAATAGACAATTGTATTACTGTGAAATAAATACAAAGAATACCTTGAATACAATTTATGTAAAGCAAGAATATTGCGAAGTTTGAAAAGAGTAGGTGCACTGTGTAATCCATCATAGATCGGTGCTTTCGGCAGTAATTAACAATACAATCAAGCGAGTAACCGTCATCGGCGATAATACATCAGGGACGTGAATACGTGTTGCCTCCCTATTGGTTATCATCCACGTGTCTGCGACGTCTGCGTTCCGATATCAGAGCGATGCTCGTCGCTTTGTTTACCCTAGTTCGAAACAACGTAATGTCATAAATTATTTAACGATTCAAATTTAAATAAAAGAGCTATTAAAGTCTCGCAAGCTATTAATTGCTAAAAAATCATTTATTTGTGTCACAATTCAAATTTTATATAATTTAATTTCAAAACTTTTAATAATCCTTTTGTTTAAATTTGAATTATTTATTTCATTCAGTATTATAAATTGTTTGACAGAAAAGAATCTTTCAATAATCTTTTTTTAAATTCCGCTTCCATATTGTGTTGATGATAACAATTGATATTTATATTTATTACAAATTCATAGATTAAAAAATAAGATTTTGTAAAATTTAAATAATATATACATCTTTTTCGACTTTTTAAAAATGATTTATACTATTTTTAGACCAAATAATAAAAGATTATTTATATTCAATAATAGCATTAAATTGCATTTTCAATTTGAATTAAATAAAATATTTAAAATGTAATTAATTTTATAATTGAAGAGGAATGTTAGAAAAAGACTTGTTTTTGTTGTGCTCGCAAAAAATAAAATCGGTATCATTTCTCATAGGTTTTAGGCGAGGAATTTGATAATACTAGTTATAATTACGTATGATGGAAATACATAATAAATTGAGTTAAAGTCGAGAAAATACATGGCAAAAAGGCAAGAAGAGATAACACACATAATACTATTTATGTATAATAAATATATTTTTGTATCGTATATTGGACCCATATTTATTATTAAAATATTTTACATGCTAACATCTTTTAATTTAATTAATTAATAAAATTGTTTTACAGATATGGACTTTTCGCATGTGATATCTCAGTAATAAAACATCCGAATATTACATGAACAAAATTCTGTAATTGTATAGTTCCATGATATCTCAATAACATATTAAACAGAAGAATCAAGGAAGACACAAATTAAGGTAAATTTATTATATACACTATTCGATGTAAATAAATTTAATTATTTATTAGAAATGCAATATAATTAACGAACTCCTCTCTTATGCAGTAATAATTTGTAAAAAACATTGACTCCTAAGTTTTATATCTGATAATTATACTTAATATATTAGGTAGTTCTTGACTTGAAGAATACTTTTTTATCAAATTAAACAATATAGACATTCGCAAAACAGCATCTTGTCTTCAGTACATGATTTAGGTACAAAATGTTTCTGGGGAGAGCAGAGGAATGTGCCTCCATTTAGAAAAACTTTCATATAATCATAAGAATACAACACGGAATTGTCTATGCATTGTCAAGATATAGCACAGTCATCTGATGTGAATGGATGGATGACAAGTGACATAGTTATTAGTATTCCATGAGTTTTGGACGGGTTTTAAAGTAGATATATGCCGCTATTATCACAAATATTGCAGCCATAGTGGGCAACACAACCGTGAACACTCTCTGCTTGTTCTCAAGGAACTCCTTTTTCCTTTCTTTCTTCTGTTTATTCGTCTCTTTCGTTTTGCCCTTTAATTGCCGCATATTTTACAGCTGCAAATTAATATGACTATTAAGACAAGTGTTTATTTCTCTAATTGATTGTATTGAGACAAGTATTCATCTGTTTTCAAATAAAGAAAAATCTATCTGATAAGAGATATTAAAAAGGTACATGTGCAATAGATTATGTTTTAATCTCCGAATAGCGTTAAATTGCTGAAGAGTGACAATTAAAACCTTTCCAAAAGGTCATAGCGATTAAATTCTCATATTTCGACAAAAACATCAACAGGCTTTAATCGATTCGACAACAATTTACAGAGTGTGATCGTATTCGTCACGCATATGTTTCAGAGCGTTCGTAGATTAAAGAACTTTCGTTCACGAGAACTTTTTAGAACTGTCTCAATTTAAAATCACCAAGATCGTCGAGACGCTACTACCTGTGAAGATGCACGAAGCGACTGCAAGTGAGATAGGAGTACGCGGGGAAACAAATCCACGCTCGTCAGTTACTAGTGCAAATGAGATTTGCGTACATGACACGTAGTAAAATGTTGAAATACACCGGTTATGCTGTCACTGCCGCACTGTAGTATACATACAGGTGATTGTGCCAAGTGCGTTCCTAAATTTACCGAGGCGAGATCATATTAGTGACAGTGGAATTTTTCCAAAGGAGGGAATTGCATTTATTGACCGGCATCTGATAAGATAGAATTTGATATTAATAGGTGTATTTAGTACAATAATCGTTCATTGAGTAAAGTAGCACCATCGAATGTGATAAATTAAATTCAAAAGTAAGAAACAATCACATTCGACTGATGAGGAGTGCCTTTTCACGCTACCGTTATTACCATTAACCGTGTTTCTTTTCCATAGTTGAACTTCTTGTACGGTTCATCTTTCTTCTTTTTCTCTGGAGAGGAAAAGAAAAAAGAGATGAACCGTATAAGAAATTTACCTTAAAAAAAAAAATGCCAATTCTATTTCATAAATTCATACAGTCTCTTCCTTCTGCATGAAAACTCACCTTAATGACTCCTGCAGACATGACAGAACACGATAACGCTTGGTTATGTACTTGGAGGAAGTTTGCCAATCATTCCTTTATTTTTGTGGAAAAGCGATAAACTGATTGACTCTTGCGCCAATTTTTGTCGTGCAACAAACATTGCCGTGTTCTGTGTGCAGAGGTTATATTGTATAACCAATCAGAGGCATTCTTCGTTTTTTAGTACGCGAATTTAAACTTTGAAGAAGATCAAGCTGATCGTTCATATATGTATAAATTTTTGGATGTCATCTGGTCGTAATGACCTCCTACTTATCTGTGGAGGCATAAGCTATTAAGTAAAGAAGAAGAAAAGTGAATAAAAATAAATGAGAACAAATAATGAGAGTGCAATGAGTGCGAATATGAAGGAGACAGTGCATAATTTGAGCAACGTCGTGAACAACGAGCATGTCCACGAGAATGAAAAGGTAATTTTATAAGTCTTCTCTCTTTATTTATCTCTTTAACTTTTCATAGCACCTCCTATTACTTACAAAAAACCGTACGATGTCTGTCATGAGAATTACTTCAGATTTTTATCAATTTTTATTGTGCACATAGCTTATATTCTACAAACTGAAACCTGATTGAATTAATATACCATGTATTATATTCTCTTCGTATTTATTCTGTCATTTAACTTTCAAAAGATGCCATAGGTTAGTATTCATAGTTTCATTTTATTTCAATATCTTCTTGACTAATATTTTAATATGCTAGCTAATATAGTTTTGTAATTAAATTATGACATCTTAAGACTATATTCTAAAATCTTAAACATAGAAATCACAATACTGGTATAGTTTTGTGTGTGCATGTAAGGCTCAATAATGAATTTTTAAGTTATGATATAAAACTTATGCTCAATGGATATTTTTTATACATTATAGGTTAAAAACTATCTGTTATTGATTCTTGTCTAAAAGTTTATTCACATTATAATACAAGTTTGTTTATCACATAAATTGTATTATATGTAAACATTATCTTATTTGATCAGAATTCAATTTTCCATGTGATTAGTGCATCCTTTATAGATATAATATAAAGAACATAATTGAGTAGCTCTGATAAATCTATATCAACTCTAGAAAGTTAAATAGATTGCACTTAGATATATAAATACATGTACCTTTTTTAAATACAAGTATTCAGCATAAAACTTGTTAAATGATCTTACAAGTGTAATTGTATAGAGTTAAAACAAAATTTCTAAAGAACAAAATTTTCCTACAAGTATATGTTATATTCTTAACTTTATGATTTCAGCAGGCAGTCATCTCTGAGGAGTTGTCAGCCAAGCAGAAGTTGAGAAGCTGGCTGAATCGACATCTACGTATTGAAATGACAGATGGTAGAGTGTTGAGAGGAGCATTCTTGTGTACAGATCGTGATGCCAACGTTATTTTGGGCTCGTGTACCGAATATTTATCTACGGAGCACACAGAAGCAAGAGTCTTAGGCTTGGTGATGGTGCCTGGTCGACATATTGTCTCAATTCATTTAGATGTTTGAAGCTGCTCTTGCACATCTGTAAATATTCTTCCAATGTTTATTTATTATATTGACCTGTATAATGTGTGTTGAATATTATATGAGTATATTACCTATGTACATATGTCTTGATACTGTATTTTAAAAACTTGATTTTTGTAATAGGAATAGATTTCTGAAAAATGAGAGGTATAATTTTGCTGTTCATTAAATGATATACATTTATTGATACATCTGTGTCACTTATATTGAATATATCTATATTATACCTCATTGATTTTATTAAAGCAAACTTGAAAATATTATAAATGTAACGAGAGACAAAATCGTGCAATTCTTGAATACGTTGCTAAATTAAAGAGATTAGTAAGGCTTTATTCGGATTATATTAAACATTTATAATAAAGATGTTATGAATTCTAGATCATAAAAGAAATATTTAGGAATAAAATAGTCTCTCTTTAATATCTCATACAACTTCAATACAATAAACTAGTTTATTTAATACAATATAAGGAAGAAAGATTTAAATAAGATTAATGTTAAAGCTGTACAAAAAACATTAGTAAATACGAGGGAAATTGTTTATTAATATACGTATTGATACAAATCATTTTTAAATTTTTTAAGAAACAACAAAACATACTTTGAAAGAGAATGTTGAACTCTTTCCTATAAAAATTTATTGTTTTTCAGTATTTTTTTTTACTGCCTTTGATGCACTGTTCCTGTATATGCCAGTATGCTTGTTCCAACTTTGTATTGCTATCAGTTTCTGCTTTTACTTTAGCTAACGCATCCTCTATCCTCTGTTGAAGTGTACTGGACAAACTGTCTATTCCACACATATAACTTAATTCTGCGCTAGCTACTGCCATTTTATGCACATAATCCATATAGGTAGCTAAGCGCTAATTTAAAAAAATTGTATTTTAACTTGTATAATTTTATAAAAATTTTTTTGTGGTACAATATGTATTCTATAATGCAATGTTATGCATAATTTGTTGTATAAGAGAATTTTTATTTTAATTAATTACTTTTTAGACTGTGATATTTAATATTTAAAATATTACAGCAAGCAATTCTTTATTACCGTAATCTTCTCTTTCTTGTCTTGCATTTCGTTTCGTACTTCCACAATCAGATCCCAGTGTGCATCATTTACGTTGCGTATTATAGTTTCTTCGAGAAGAGAAATGAGTTCATTTAACAATAATCTATAAAATTATCATAATAAACATTAATACAGAGATATCTTATTTTCCTCTATGTAGATCTATATTATTTTTATTTACCTGTATGCAACGCTCAGATCTATTATAGCCATGTAAGTGACAGTTAATGCCTGGGTTGCACTATTAGCAGCATCCAATGCAGATTGTTTTATCATATACTCATAGGTTAGTTTTTTTATATCTGGAGGATCCAGTTTCAACTTCTCATTTTCATTAAGCTTGTCAAATGAGGTACAATGTGCAAATAATATACTTGATGTATACTGCAAATAAATTATGAGTTTCTTTTAATGCAATTAAAATTTGAAATTAAAATACCGCATGAATTGTTTTCTCACTATCGCAGGACTAATATTTCTCCATAATTTTGTGAGAACTTGCCGCATTACCATACTTGTTAAAAATATAGTTAATCCTTGGGAATTGATACTAAAATCTGTAACATAATTACTGATGCTATTTAATTTATATAAGATATTATTAAAAGATATTAATTAATTTCAAAGAACAAAGATGACAAAAAACTCATATAAAAAATGCAAAAGAATACTAAATATATTTTAATAGGAATAATTCAAATTTTCAAATGTAACATAAAAAAAATTAATTGATATTTTTGACAAAGAAAAAGAAATTTATAATTAGAGATTTATAGTGAGCCCAATATAAATCCATCACCAACTCCAAGGGTTAATGTACAATCTAACCACATTTTTTTTTTAATTATTAGGATTGACAATTTCTAGCAATTTCTTAACTTTCTTTTAAAGTTTTCATCCACATATTCTACAATTTAACGTAAATAGTGGTACGTTTTAATTCGTAATGTTCAGAAAAAAATTCGAAAAGCGAGTGGAAAAGGCAGACGATATTATGTGTATATAACCTCACTAGTAAATGGCAGCTGACAAAAAGAAATGATGCGGCAGAGATTAAATTTATACAGATTCAATCGATTAAAAAAAGAAAACACTGAGAAAATATGAAAGTCTGTGGTTTCGATACTTAATTTTAGTATATTATATGGTCAAATCTAAACTTTTTAATAATTTCGTTATATCTACAAAAAATAATTGGTGACACATACATTTTATTTCTTTATTCCAAATATCTTTCCCCTCTCTTTCTTTTTTTATATATTTTTTATTAGTTCAAATTAATAAATATAAATATTTAAATTTACAATTATAAATTGGAATGATAATTTCTTTAATTTGAACGCTCATTTGGAAGTAAAATATTATGTAATTTTCAAAGAATTCATCTATTATAAATTATGTAGCCAAATAAAAGCAATTTTGTTCTATATAATTTCCAAGGAACTAGTTTTTATCTATTTTATATTGTGTAAATTATTATATTTATTTATAAAATAATCAATATATTCTATCTCACTTCTTCAAGAAATAGATTATTAGAAATGTCATCTTTTTAACATGATATAAATAAAATAGAAAGACTTATGTGAATCTTCCTTTATAAAAAAGATGATACAAATCAATGCATTATATATAAGAATTGTGATAAATTCATTCGAAAACTACTGATATACATGTACATTTGTGAGAACATAAGACATGTTACTACATTCCCTGAAAGAAGATGCATTTTTTTCTGAAAGATATGCAAGAATTGTTTTATGAACGAAAATTATGTTATACACATTCTCATCATTCGTGTTTTTACAAGCAATAGTATGCTTTATACTGCAAAACTCATGTGATACAATTAAAACATATGCTTGTAGCAGAAGCATTTTACATGTAAAGTCACAAATCTATACTGCAAAAATTCAAGATAAATCTCACACTGGCCTATTTTATGCGTATCCGTTATCAAATAAATCGTCAGAATCTCTGCTATTTCTTGGCACTTGTGTAACATAATCATTTTTAATAAGATCAACAACTTTGCAAAACTATTTATGTAATGAATGAATGATGAAAACCATATCCTTGTATAAATAGTTGCATATTATTAATTAAATGGAACAGCTTATATTCACATTCGCAGAATAACTTATTCATCGGCAACACACAAGAGAATTCCCCCTTCGATCTTAAATGCACCTGACAAAAGTAATCTACAGAAAAATTGCCTAAATCGACGAGTATCGTCGATCAACAACAGAGAATCACACTTTTAAATAAATTATTTCTTATAGTTCATGATGCGTTTCTTCCTGAACTTTCTCTTTAGTCAACGGTTTCTCGCTTTTCGGTAGATTTAACGGATCCTCTGTAGTGTCCATTGTTTCTGATATTGGTTCTTGTTGCTGCTCTTCTACATTGTCGGATAGTTGTTCTTCCGCAAATTTGTCACTTTTAGTATCAGAATCGGTTACGGAGTCTTCGTTTTCCTCTATCGTACGCTCAGCCTTACTATCTGTCGTTTGATTCGCCGTAGTTTCTTGTTTCGGTTTCCAAATCTTTACCTTATTTAGAAGATATTTAATTTCTCTATCGAGTAGATCCATTTTATTCACGATTTGGCGGATCTTGTATTTTACTGGTATGTTTAGCGGTGCATCCACGAAATATTTCGAAATCGTATCATAATAATCCTAAAATATTTTTTTGTGTTACACTAACATTATAGACATATAATAATAGCGTGTTTCAATTTCAAAAATCGCTTTAGATATTAAAAATAAACCATTACCTGTGTCTCGTTGATCGCTTTTTCTAACGTCTCGATTTCAATAGGCGTAATAACTTCACTCGTTAGACTCAAATTGCGCATATTCTCTAGAAACAATTTACTGCCTTTAAGTAGCGAAACCATGCCGTTTAAGACTTCCGGTCGATCTCGGTACTCGGAAACCCTCTCATAAACATCGTTGGTTAACTTTTGAAGTTCCATTAACTTCTCTTCGTATACTTCTGCAGTTGCGGTGAATCCATCCTCATACAACCACTCAGAGATCTCGGCGCACGCTTTTCGAACGTCCTCGACCTCCTTATCGGTAGCCGCGTCTAAAAATTCCTTAGAATCAAATTTCTGCTGCGCGTCGATTACGTATGACTCGAGGTTGTTCAACGCAGTCTCACGACGCGTTTTCTCTGAATCATGCACATCTAAACGATGTATCCTAAAAGAAAAAGAAGAGAGTTTTATTAAAATAGTAGAAATTATATTTATCATAATTATGCCGATTTTATATTTGTTTGTTGAATGAAAAGAAATAACGACAATAAAAAATGAAAGTTACAGTAACACTTATTAATATTTAAGAAATTTAAATTTACAGAATATTAAAAATGAAAATAATTTCTCAATTACTTCACATTATAAGTAAACATATGTTTAATGACTCACTTGTCTCGAGATTCTGTAAGTTTTTCACCGGACAAGATTTGTGATCCTAATTTAACCTCTTTCGAACTGATAGGTTCCTTAATTTGAACGATTGTAGCCTTTTTCTCTTTGTCCGCCTTTTCGGTTTTATTTGCAGTCTTGTCTTCGTTCACTTTTGTTTCGCTTTTCTTTTTTTCCTTCTCATCTGTCTCTTTTGTTGACTCCGAAAATTCTGGCTCTTCATGCACTGGTTTTATATCCTCCTTTGGTGGTTCTTCTGTCTTTTCCACTGTCTCTTTTTCTAAAGAAGAACCTGAAAGATTAAGAACTTCAAAATATATTAATTCTTAAATAACAAACTCCTGTATAAATCAAAAATTAACTTGGAAAGAAAAGGGCACTAGGAGTTAAGCGTAGATAACTTCACGCAACGTATCTAGCAAATCTATCTATTATAAAAAATTATTAAATAAATAAGCTTACATGTTTCGACTCATTTTTGAGCCTTCTTCAGAGACAATAAAATTTTCATAAATAAATTATAATTTAAAAAATAACAAAGATAAAAAGATGTTTAATCATAATGAGCTCACTCACAACCGAGAAATAGATTCAAAAGACAATTTCATCCTAGGGAGCACAATCAAATGCATAATAACGGAAGAAAGGAAAGAAATAAAGAAAGTTGAAAAAATGGGAAATTAATTTTCCAGGATGTCACAGAAAAATAATCATTTCCAAATTAAATTTATCAATTTATCAACTACCTCTCGGGAGTGAGAAGAATCACCATATTCATCACGATACTGCATCGCAAAACAATCTCAAAACCGGTCACTTGAATTTTGTGATTTGATAATTTGATACCGTCGAACTATTTGCTGTGACTGACTGTGTTTGAGACTGACTAGCCTAAATTGTTCTGAAGACCGGTTTTGAGATTGTTTTGCGATGCAGTATCGTGGTGAACATGGTGATTCTCCTCACTCCTGAGAGGTAGTTGTAATTTGATAAATTTAATTTGGAAATGATTATTTTTCTATGACATCCTGGAAAATGAATTTCCCATTTTTTCAACTTTCTTTATTTCTTTCCTTTCTTCCGTTATTATGCATTTGATTGTGTTCCCTAGGATGAAATTGTCTTTTGAATCTATTTTTCGGTTGTGAGTGAGCTCATTATGATTAAACATCTTTTTATCTTTGTTATTTTTTAAATTATAATTTATTTATGAAAATTTTATTGTCTCTGAAGAAGGCTCAAAAATGAGTCGAAACATGTAAGCTTATTTATTTAATAATTTTTTATAATAGATAGATTTGCTAGATACGTTGCGTGAAGTTATCTACGCTTAACTCCTAGTGCCCTTTTCTTTTCAAGTTAATTTAAGAACTTCATTTAATATACGTGCTTCTCTCTCTATATATATATATTTATACAATTTATAATCAGGGCCTAGAGTTTTATGTCATTGACAATTGTGCAAATTTAAACGCAATTAACTTGCCTTTAAAATTTTGTCTCATATAACAAAATAATTGACATAAATATTCCATGAATATACATCCATAAAAAATATTACCATTAATGCAATAGGAGTTGTTCTATTAAGATAAATTATTCTATTAATGTATAAACTTTTTAAAATCGTATTGTTACAAAAATTTAATTGTTAATGACAACAAAATCTGACTCTCATTGATAATACCATCTATTTTTCTAAAACATCTACTTATTCCTTGATATAAAAATGCTTGCAAAAAATGATTTCAAAACGTAACATGAAATGATTTTTCAATTTTTAATTAATAAAAATAACATATTTTTTCCTGAAAAATAAAACAGTTCTTCATTATATACAAATCGGATATAAAGAAGAACCGGTATAGTGCAAATATCTTCAAAAGTGAGATTCATAACATGCAACAAAAACTAATGGCATCATTTTTTGCATTGCCTGCGGCACAAACCTGCAAAGAATTTACTAATAGTTGAGCCAAGTATTGAGAAAGTACCCTCTTCTTCCTCAACAGTACTCGATTTTTCGGAAACTAATTCTACAGTCAATAAATTCAGTACGCCACTATCGTCTACATTAAAGTGCACTTTGATTCCTTTACTCTCGGCGCCTTCGTTTGCATGCTTTTCTAAAGCTTCGGCTACACCACTCAGCGATATAGTAGATATATGTAAATCACCAATAGAACTGTAAAAAATTCAATCTCTATAGTTTTGGAGTATGAACATTTTGATATTTAAAATAACAAATCTATTTTCTGTGTTAACTTGTTCCTAGTATTACAAATAAATAATAGTTGTAGATACTTACATTACCTCACTAGCAGGCAAATAATCTAACTCAGCGTAATTCACATGAAAATCGAAATCACTCGTGTGTTTATTAAATGTAATAATTTTCTTTTGTGGAAACGGATTCATTCTGCCAAATAATGTCTTCTTTACCTATACAAAAATCAATTTTAGAAAAAAAAGATACATATTATCGTTTAATACGAAGGATTAAGTTACATAACATAATATTCTACCTGTCTAACTTTATTATCAACAGTTCTATCAAATGTAATCTGAATTGGGAACAACAAAGCATCTTTTGTGACAAACTTCTTGACCTTGAAACCCTGACTAAGATCAGCTGCTTTATACGCAGCCCCTAAAGCAGCTGCTTCATCCGTATTTACATTTTTAGATAATTCTGTTTTTACATATTGGGACAGTGTTTCTTGTACCTTTGGCATACGAGTACCTGCTCCCACCAATACAACATGTGATATAATATCCATTGTCAAACCTGAAATATTTTGACATGAATAAGTTTAGTGTTTAAGTATACATATTTGCAAGAATCAGTATTCTGCAAAAAAGTAGGTCACCTGAAATTTCTAATGCAATCTTCACAGGATTTGCTACGCGTTCGAATAAATCGGCGCATATCTCTTCCAACTTCTCTCTTGAGACTTGCAACTTGAAGTCAATATCATCTATCAAACTTTCTATCTGGGCAAAATGGTCTGCATTGGCACTAAGTACAGTTTTGACGCGTCCAGCTTCCTTAAAAAGTTTTGCCATCGCTCTTGGGCTTTTGAACACAGAGTTTGGCGTCTTTTTAAGAGCGTCAAATTCTTGTGCTAAATAATGCTGCAATCTGATTTGCATTTCTAATCCTCCAAGCGTACGATCGTATCCCACACCCAACACGGTAACGTAAGGATTGGTCTCGAGGAAACCCCTCTCTTTCGTTTTTATGTTTTGGTAACTAACAACCGTCGCAGTAGTGCTGCTAGCTCCCATGTCATAAAACATAATGTAATGAGCAGAATCGTTTATCTCAGTTCTACCGAATACACCGTAGTTCAAAGCTACCGCCATGTAATCGTTTATGAGCTGTAATACTTTTAAACCAGCGAGTTCTGCCGCTTGAATCAGTGCTTTCCTCTCAGCCTGATTGAAGAATCCCGGCACAGTGATAACGGCTTCGTTGATCTTCTGATGGGCGGAAGCTTCCGCGATTTCTTTGCCTTTGTGCAATATCTGTGCAAGTAACTCTTCCGGAGTGTATGTCGTGTTTTCATTTAATCTAAACGCTATGGTTTTCCTCTCGTTATCAGCAATGATATTGTAGTAAGGAAATCTTTCTTGGTAGAGTTGTACTAACGGATTGTCTATAGGTTTTCCTAGAAGGTCTAGAATGTAGAAGAAAGTATTCTGAGGAAATCTCACTCCGATTACTTGAGCATCTTCGCCGAATGATCTCTCTCCATCCCTGAACGCAATTGTGACTGGTGTTTTCCTCTTTGACTCCTTGTTTAAAGCTATTTCCATAGGAACACCAGGCTGTAGATCAAAGAATAACGAAGACATTTCATAAGAAACATGCTCATTTTTTTAAATATAAAAATGTAACAGTGACATTTGGTTAATAAATCTTTGGCTATGAAAGCTTTGCAACTGTTGTAAAATTCTTTGATATGATTGGTTTATACATTTGGTTGGAAGACTAGGAATATGACTAGTTATATTAAAGAAATGTACAACAGTGGAGAAGCTACTTTCTCTGTTGAATATAGCCTTTCTAGTAGAAAAGCCGTCAGTCTGTTGGATTTGCTACAAATAGATGTCACATACCGAGACGATAGCGACCTTCATCCATTCACTACCAAGGTCGATGCTCATAACGGCAAGTTCTTCGCTGATGCCGACGAAGGTGGCAATTATGAGTAAGGTTAGTGAAATCATCGTCATACCTCTCTGTGAAAATCCCATCTGAAAATCGAGACAGATGTGAGGTAAAATCATGCCAAGGAAATCCATATGAGAACTCAAGAACGTTAACGTGCACGCTCACGCTGGATCAAGGCACGAGACTTACGTACTGTCATGCCCTGTCTAGCTGTCAAAGTTGGTTATGAATACCGGCGACGTGGAACACGTCGATCGGGAAAGCAGGCAGATTAACGCGCGCTCACCTTGAGCTCAGGTCTCGCGATGACACACGACGTACTCAGAGGAAGCGGCTCTCAGCTGTACACCATTCAGAACACACGTTCGCGCATCGCAGCCTTTTTTAAATCAACAAAAACCTGAGTGTGACACCCTCCACCACGACCACTCTCCATGGAATTCAGTGCTATCTAGCACCATGTGTTGGTGTGGCACGTTGCAATTGGCCGAACTCAGCAAATATCGCTCCGCCATTGGACCGCGTTGGCAAATTGGAGCCAATTGTGAGTCGCGCAATCCGCACCGATGACACCAATTTTTCCGGGAGCATTAGCAGGGAAAATAGGAACGTGGGCTTTAAAGGCTAATTTACAATGTGCTCTTTGTTTGTTAAAGTACGTGTATCTTTGTTTTCTGTTTCTTGCTTTTTTCTCTTTTCTTTTGGCCGTTTAATTAACAATTTTGTGTTTCATATCTCTTTAGGAGTTCATTAAATTTTATCTCAAGTAATAGAAAAGAAACAAAAAGAGCAGAGTGAAAGCATTGTAGATCATTCTTAAAGTCGATTCAGTATTAAATCAGAAGCTAGAAATTGACCAATCACAGTCGAATATAAGAAAAATAATCGACAATGATTGGTTAAATTTATAACTTTTAAATTTTAATTTATTATTAATAGTTTATAGTAACAAAAAAAACCTCTTAATTTCACGCACTCAAAGAAATTGATTTAAAAATTAAAATAAAAAACATTAAGTTTCCTCGCAATTGCTACAATAAATTAATCGATTTCTTTCTATATAATTTTAATTAAAATAATAGTGAATAATTTAAATGTGGATTCATTTCGACAGCATTGTTTAAGGTAAAAATTTTCTTTATATCTTTTTTATCTGTAACTTAATAACGAATTTGATCACTCACATTAAATTGTACTGTACATCATTACACTGTAGATCATATATAAAAAGATTACTTTATAAATATACTTAAATGCAATGGCATAATATAATTAACTTCGACAATAAAATAATACACATTCAATACTATTCTATTAAATAATGTGATAATATTACATATGGCTTTGAAAATTATATGAGGTTTTAAGATTTATTCAAACTAATCTATAAAAAAAAAGCAATGTATATTAAGCAAAAAGAATTAATCAAATTGAAGAAAAGTATTTTGATGAAGTTATACTTTGTTCAATGCTTAAAAACGTTTTTTTTTCCTAGGAACATAGTTCATTTATTTAACTTTAATATATCAGATATTTGTAATTATCTTTCTTGTAAAAGTATCAAATAAAAGATACTGACAAAATGATGAAGAAGATACATAAATATGGGATCTGATAATGTACAGATCGAAAAGTTATCGATGCTATTTAAAATTATTAGCGTAGCGTAAATAGTGTATAGTTCTATCATACAAAAATCGATAATCTAGTCTCCTTACGTTTAAAGTAAATTATATATATGTATATTTATAACTTGTAATTGCTATCTGTTTTCATAAGTCCAATGGATATAAATAAAAATTGTCACATTTATAAGGAAATGTTTACAATAAGAAAAATTTGCTGCAATTGAATTTCACGCTTGGATGTTGATATGAGTTTTTCCAGCTGCGTTTCGTGCTGATTTGACTATGCGGCAATAAAAATATTTTACACCAACGGTACGCAGATTTATTAACCCCATTGATCCTCAGATCGACCAAATTTATATGTGAGTGAGCCCAGGAAAATGAATATATTCTGCAAGAACAATCCTACTCCTGGCCAATGATGTGGTGCGCCTATAAAAGAATAATAAATAAATTAATAAAGGATATAAATAAGGAAAATAAAAGAAATAAAAATAATTAAAGATATAACTATATGCATATTTATAATTCTGCAATGTATAAAGTCTAGTCTTTGTAGTCTAACTATTTAGTATGTACTCATTGTACTTAAAATGAAGTAGATATATATTTAAAGTTTGGCAAAGTGAAAAAGAAAGTTTCAATGTAGTCCAGTGCAATACAAGAATAGATTTATGTATATATTATACTATTATAACCTGCTGCTACAAAATTGGCAAACAAAATCCAACAGGCTGCTATTACTGCTGCAAATCCCATAACGAATCCAATAAACAGCCAACTTCGAGCACCTCTTGCTCCTAAACAACCACCATTGTAAGCTTCTCCTCTTATCTGCGCATTTGTCACTGAATTGACCCTAGAAGAATATAGAATTATTTTTCAAATTAACAACAATAAACATAATATGTATAACAATAAGGATTCTATTAGTGATTATATGATACATTTTATTGCAATATACCTTTACCAAAAATATTAAATATAATGATTAATAAAGTGCTTAAAAAAATATATTTTTGGCCAAAGTTTATACATACTATTGAAAATGTTATTAATATACTTACATGAAGAGTGATACAGTACCAAATACTCCACAAACATGGTATGCATTTGACATTTCATCAGGATATTTTGCGTGCGCGTCTATTATAAACCACCATCCTACAAAAAACTAAAACAGGGTTTCAGTAAGAATTTCGATTGCAGGAGGAAAGTTAATGTGAGAAATGTGAGTCATTAAAAGCATGCAACCTTTGTACAAGATAAATATTTACGATATTATACGATACTCCAAGGCTCAATAAAGAACCAAAGAAAGACAAGAGAGCATTATCAGAAATCGATGTTTATCGACAAATGTGTTTATGGGAAGTAGATGTGTTTGTTTATCGTGACAAAATGTCGTAGGTGTGAAACTCATGGATTTACCAGTGTGCCTGCGAGCATTGAAACGAGCGCGTTTCTCTTTTCGCCGCCCTCGAACCAGACGCAGGACGGCACCTGCATATTCTCGAAACAGGACGTCATCCTCACTGCGGCTTTTGAAAAACGCAGGGATTCTCAGCTGACTTTTACAGTTGGACAGATAAGCTAACCTTACAAGCAATGGCAATGACAGATATCAACATATACAACCGAGAGGTATAGGAGATAGGTAGCAGTGCCGAAGATTGCAACAGCAGCGCTATGAAAATGAGAGCGGCCATGCCCGGATAATTTATTTTGAAGCGCCTCTTTGTCCACAAAACGTGGACATTGAACTATGATCGTGTCGGTAATGTCCACGATTTTTTGGTTCGAATCTTCCCAATGATTATCGGTCCGTTAAACAAACAAAAACAGACAATAGCGTTTTGATACTGCGTGAAATGGCACTTAAGAGCACATGAGAACAACCACGTGAATTAGTCAAGTTTAGTTTGACATTTCGAGGTTTTAAGTGAGTGCCACACTATTCCTATTTGTAATCCATTGATCACATTGATGTGCAATTTCGATATTTTTTTTTGTTGTTGATTGATCAGCCATGGCAGTCGATCTGGGATTCGTGGAAAAATGTGAGAGTTGGCGACTCGAAAGCAGATTCTACCCTAATAAAGTAGGTGGCAAGCCGGCCTGGCTCGATCTGAAAAGTATTCTTGGTAAAGACGACTTGGAGTGCGATTACTGTGGTGATCCATGTGTGTTTCTCTGCCAAATTTATGCACCGTACGAAGAAGACTCTAACGCATTTCACAGAACTGTCTATATCTTTGTGTGCAAGAACGCCAATTGTTGTAGACCGAATCAGAATGGGAACCTAAAGGTCTTCCGATCGCAGCTAAGTAGAATAAATGATTTTTATCCGGCTGAACCACCTATGGAACAGAAGGACTGGAGAATGGATATTGGTATTATATTATGATACAAGCTATTTTTCTGTAGTAACTAATAAAATTGTATGGATTAAAATTGATGATTTTAATAGAAATATACAAGTAATAATTTGTTATCTTTGCAGATGTATCTCAATGGGTAAAAACATGCTGCGTATGTGGAATTTTAGCGCCTAATCACTGTGGCAAATGTAAAGTGGTCAATTATTGTTCTCGTGTACATCAAGTGTGTGATTGGAAGAATGGACATAAAGATATATGTGGTACTGAAGCAAAAAATGACAGTAGATTCCTGTTTCCTGAGTATGAGATTGTGATAGAGGATGACATCACTGTAATAGAAAATATCAAACAGAATGATCCTGATAGTGAACACAAAGAAATTGAAAAATACAATGCAATGATACAGGATGGCAAAGCTGGAACGTTTCAGAATGAAGATGTTAACAATGATTTACTACAGATGGCTAACGATGAAAAGGATAAAATGTTTGCAAAGTTTCGTTTAAAAATAGATGATTATCCAGATCAGATTTTAAGGTATGTCTCTTTAAACAGTTAAATTTATATTCATAGCTTAATTCGTATTTATTTGACAGATATGATAGAGGAGGAAAGGTTTTATATATTTCATCACATGGACAAATAACAGATGTACCAAAATGTCCAGAATGCAATGGCGATAGACAGTTTGAATTTCAAGTATGTTCATTCATATATAAGTGGAGTCAGGGGGTTGCACATTTATTATAAAATATAGTAATTTATATCTATGTGTGTATATACACAATATATTGTAAATTACATAATGTAAACTATGATCAATATTCATAGTTTGTTCTTATCTTGAAACTCTCTTAAGTAATGTTTTAAAATGTTAATACGGCTCTTCGATTGTCTTCGAACTTTTATATCGCTTATATCTTTTTATTTATAAATGTTAAAATCAAATATATTACTAATCATAAAATTTATTCACTTTTTCTTCTATTATGTTATCTAATTTATAATATTTTACTTTGCTTATATTGTCTAAAAATTGGGAAAAAATTGTGTAAACTTAATATAAATAATACATAAATATTCCGTGTAAACGTAATCTTGAAATATATGGCACAACCTTGAATGAAGTTTGAAAGTTTATTAAAATCATATTAAATTTAATAATATAAAATCACAGAAAAAATCTTTGCATACTTACAATTAATAAACTTGCTGTTTAACAAAATGTCATATTTTTATCTAATTTAAAAATATAATTTACAGATAATGCCGCAACTATTAAATTTTCTCGACTTAAAAGATGTTATGAAATGCCTTGATTGGGGAATATTGGCCGTTTTCACATGTAAACAATCTTGCATACCTAAGAATAAGTATATAAAAGAATATATATGGAAGCAAGACATTGTACAAGAAGAAAGTGAATCGAGAATAAATCAGAATATGTGACTACATTAAACTTTATTTGACATTAGAAGTCTTTTGCCTCTTCTTCTTACATCTTATTTTCGTTACAGAAAAGTAAACAGTCTATTTAAAAAAATTAAAATATTTCTTTTATGTATTTATTAAATACATAATCAATGTTTATTGTCCTATTTTATAATGTTATAATTTATCCAACAAAGAAATTACTTTTTTAATGATAACTTATTATCTGTATATATTTTCTATAATGACGGTGTATTCAGAGGGACGCTATTAACGTGATTTGTCATTTTATTTATCTATGTCATTTTATTTTTATTTTACGTCTAATGAAAGATAAAGATAGAATGATACAAATAGCATTAATAGCATATTTCTGATCGCAATATTACAAAACATGAAATACAACATACATAGTTTATATATTTTCTTTTGTATATAAAAATAGAACTTTGTCGAGGTAATTCTTTCCTGAAAGTAAGTATTTTTTGCTTTAAAAATCACATTATATATTACAATGATAATGGGATGATGGCAGTTTATTGTAACACTTATATTTAACGATACAACTGTCAAAGTTTATATAATAAGTAATATATAATCCATAAAATAAAATCAAATATAACAATCATAATACAGTTTATTTTCAGCAGAGAAAATGTAAAAAATTATATCAATAAAAACTTTTTAGGCTACAATTAACAATCTAGCTCAGTTATAAATTTTAAATGCAAAAGAAGTACATGTGTAAATGCACATTACATGTAAAGAATGAAATAAAATTATACAAAATATATATGTACGAATACAATTGATTCCATATAAATACAAAGGTAACATATATATGTGCGAATACAATTGATTCCCTTCACTTTAAAACTATGAAATAAGTAATTAAAATGGCTTTCTTAAAAATGTTATTTTATACAATATTTACGATTCTTTAAAAATACCGGTTACCACAATTATAATGCATTTTGCAAGCATTATAATGATCAATCTTATACACACACGCATATAAGATTATAGTTTCATTAGCAATGTTTCATTATAAACATTATAGTCGAAAGAAATAAAAAAATAATTGACTTCTTATATAAAATTACTCCTAAAAACGTGTCTTAAAAAAAAAATAATTTTATCTAATCTAATTTTTTTAAAAATGATTTAGCAGTAACGTTACATAATACTGATAAACTTTCATTACAATAGCGTTTAAAACGTTTAAGCATGAAAACTGACACAGCCTTCGTTAAATTATGTGAGAGATCATACGGATCTTGCACACACATAGGTGAATCAATACGAAAATATTCTGGGTTGTTCTTATGCAATTGTGTAATATAAAGTGCCATAGAATTAGGTAAAATCGACACTTCAGTAAAAGCTTTCTTTTGACATGTTTTACCTAATAATGGACATATGATGAGATGCATGTAATCGAAACCTCCGTAATATTCGAAAAATCCTATCAACAGTTTACGTATCGTTTGTTGCGGTATATTGATAAAAATAGTATCACTGACTCCAGTTTCCCAACCTAGAGTATAACAAGATAAATATCAGTATTATACCAATCCTAAAATATGTGTAAAATTACGATTTATTATTATGACAAAATAAGATTTTGTCCACAATTACAGACTCCATAAACTATAACGTGCTAGATACAATATATTAAATTAGAAATCTCTAAAATACTTACCAGAGATGATTTTTGACTGATTATGGGTTTTGATTAAGTCAGCAATACTCGGAATTTTAAATTTGACTTGCAAGTAAAAGATGACTAACCAAACAAGAGCGTAATTTGTTATTCCGTCAGGACCACTCAAACCCGCCAGCGACAGCCATTTTTTCAGAAACAGTGTCAATTTTTGACACGGTGGATATGCGGTATTAAAAGATCTAAATTTTTTAGTTATTTTGAAACATATTTCATGATACTTCTAAGAAGTACAATAATATTGTATTTCATACCTAATAAGCTTGGAATTTTCTACTGACAGACTATTCGTAAACGAGATATCGCACTGTAGTCCCGTTGATCTGTGCTTTACTTTTATTATAGGAGTTCTACTCCTGTCCAAAGTTAATTCTATATCCCAATTCTCATGCTCGGTACGTAAACAATTTTGAATCTGTTTACTCCTTTTCTTAATCGATTCAGGCTCGATACATTTGTCACCTAATATAAACATTATTTTTAATATCATTAATAGTTTTATATCATAATTTTTTCTTACATTTTTTTCCTACAAATTTTTTATGTACTTTTATTTTGATGAACTTTTGTTTTGAAAAGTATTAAAATCTGTTTAAAAAATCATTTCAAATATATAATACTTTGATAATAAAAAAATGTGTTATATCTATGATCTTTAGAAATATAATTGTTTAATAAATTTCGTATAGGTAAAATCAGAAATAAATATATTTACCGAAGTTAAGATATATGTCGATATCGCTGTTTGTTAACGCTAAACCAGTAACTCTTGAACCAAACGTGAATACTTCGACAGGAAGCTGATATGTTCCAAAGATGTGCTTCAAAGCATCTGTAAGTTGAGTCACTTTTGGATCATTTAATGCTTCGTTCGACAATTTGAACAGATCAGCAGAAATTTCGTTAACATTTCTCAACAATTTTTGCAGAGGTTGCGGCAGCGGAGTAACTGCGAAGTCATTACTTTTTTTTAGATACTGATGTACTTGTGTCTGACAGTGGTTTTCATAATTTGTACCGTCTTTATTATTAGTTTCATTTTTGTACCATAAAGTCGCACACGTTAAGCAAAAATCAAACCTCGAATTAATCTTATTTTTTATAACTTCTTCGTGCTTGTTATTAAGATGTTCCATAAATTTTATCTTCATTTTGAATTTTGTGTTGCAATCGACGCAAGCAAAGTACTGGATACTATACCATAAATTTTCAAATTCTTCCAATATGAACTCAACCTGACTACGCAATCGTTTACAATTGTTCTTGTGCAAAGGAGTACATATATGATTTTTAAAATCTATGTTAGATGTTACATTCTGAAATTTATATATATCACAAGCAAAACATTTGACATATGCAGGTTTTATTTTCACTAGCTGCTTTAATAGTTTCAAATGTTCTTTATTCTCATGTAGCATGTTAAATTGTATAATGTGTTTTTCAGAATTTATATGATCGTATATTGCCTGCGTATTACATAATTGCATACTGTCACACACAAGGCAAAGCATTTTGTCAAAATGTGGAACGAAAAATTCCAAATTCGATTTAATTTTCGTCAGTTTTCTTTTGTTGCAAACAAATATAATTTCTTCAAAGTCGAGAAAATCTTTCCTATATATTTTATTATAACGATCCAGAGCGCTCTTCTTACTTAACTTTGCAGACAATCGATTTGAGTCATAATTATTTTTTATTAATGTATTAATTTCTGCAAATATATCGAGAGATATAAAAAAGCTGGAATTATTTTCTTCATTTTGACTGATTCTATTATTTGTATCACTGGAATCCATTTCAGCTATTAAGTTATGATTGCCATATTGTCCTGTGTTTACTTGTGTTTTGTCAATGTTACGTTCCATTAATAATTCGTTGTCAATTGATACATTCTTTTTAGAAACTGGAGACTTTACTTCATGTTCATTTTTATTTATGATAAGCTTTTTTGATGTAGATACATTATGTATATACTTATATGTGAGAAAAATATTTTGAAAATGCTTCAAATGTCTTAACGTATTACATAAATGGTTAATTACGCCGTTGATTTCATAAACTGTACAATTACAGTCAAAGCAAACGTAAGTAAATGTTTTCGGCGTTTTTACTGCATTTTTACAAAGGGTTGTATAATGGTTTTTAATATATATCACAGGCTGCTCCTGAATTTTAATAGTTCCATTATTATTCTCAAAAGAGATCAGGCTTAAAAATTCAATTGGCTCTAAATAAATTTGTATATTTTTACAACCATCATACTCCCATCTCTTAATGTCAGTCAATGATTTTATATTTTCTTTGTGTTCATATTTCGAAAAATGAGCTTGTAATAACGCTATGCCATGTATTATCTTATTACAGAATGAACATTTAAACAGTGGATAATAAATATTGACGTTAAGATTTTTATTACTAGGCGACCAATTATAGATAAACCTTATAGAAAATATATTACTTTTGTGTATTATTCTTTCATGATTTATTACATCATCCTGCTCGACCATTTGATTACATTGATCGCAAGTATACTTTGCTACAGTTTCTGTGTGTTCTGGCCATATGGTTCCATCGAATTTTTTATTATTTAATTGTAATGGCCTAAGAGTTTTCCTTTCCTCTTCTAACTTTATAATGCATATTTGATGATTAGAATTTTGCTTTTTTAAAAGTACAGATACAGCGGACTTATGGTTCTTACATATCATATGATCTTTTATAGTAGTTCTATAGATAAATGTATCACACAAACAACAAAAAGCCATATGAATACAGCCTTTATTTTGCAGACCCTCATTAATACTATCATTATTATAAGACTTTAATGAAATTGTACTTTTCTCTTCTGCTTTAAAGCTACTTGGAAGATTTCTAATTAAATCACTTTTATTTTGTACATCAGCAGATATATTTTGATTATTAATCGTATTATTATTTAAATTTGGTTTATCTGCAGGTTTTCCCAGTACAACACTAGCATTTACGTATTTTTTACTACATTGGGTCGTGTGCTTATGTCTTTTTCCAACTGAATGTTCATAAAAATGATTTAAAGAAGGCAGAGAACATTGGCAAGATACACAAAAATAATCTTGCAGTATATGATCCTGATTTGCTGTTTCATGATTTAATGATTCACTACAATTTGTATCCGATAATTTAATAGATTTTGATAGATCAAAAAAATCTGGTATGTATATGCCACTATCTGGATGAACTTCTTGTAAATGACAAATCATATCTGACAAGTTTTGTAACATAGACTCACACAGATGACAGTACCATTGTCCATTGTATATATGTATTGTATATATTGTATGTTGTATTAAAAGATGTTTATACGTTTTTGCTTTCTCCATTAATGCATAAGGCACATTTGTAATAGTTTCATTTGTTATCTGCATAGAACTGTTTGATGTATCTTTCGTTATTAATGTATTCTTACTGATTGACTGTACTATTGCATTTGATTCAACTTTATGTTTCATTGAATTATCTATAGAAGCATTGTTTTGTTTATTACTTATATTGTCATTTGACTTTTGCTGCTTTGTAGAATGCTTTAATATAGATTTAGAACTTATACATTTGCGGTGATTTTCTTCTTTTAAATGTTGAGAAAAAACATGTAAAGAAGATATTGAACTTTGACAATATAGACAGAAATAATCTTGCTGTATTTCTCTTACTATAATACCCTGATTTACTAACTGCATACAATTATTTTTTGTCAAGTTGGTTTTATTTAGGAAATCAAACATTTGACTGCTGATAGACGAGTGAGCTTCTTTGATATGACGCTTTCCTTTTTTGGAGTTTTGTAATGTTATCTTGCACAGATAACAATACAGTTGTCCATTATAAACCGTTATATGTTGCTCGAGAAAACGTTTGTATTTCATTTTAACGAGTTTTATGTTATGCTTATTCCTCTCATGTACAACAACAAATTTCTGTAATAAAATAATAGGCATATCTAATATATTCTAAGCTAAAATTTACATGGTCGATGAGGAGATAAATAACACGATGCAGTCGATTGTGATAGCCTTTTTTTAAAGCTAAATCAGTGTGCATAATGTATCGTTTATCCTTGTAGCTCACTACATGTTAAACAAGGATAATTGATTCACATCATGCAGAACGCACCTTTAGATACGCAATTAGGTTAAGTCAGATTAAATTATATTTAACCTATTTCATACTGCTGTAGCATTTTGCAACTTCTAACTCGACTGCATCCAAGAGAATGAGAAAAACTTTTTATTGATTTCAAAATTTAATTTCTAAAAAGCGTCAGCAAATGAAAGTTGACGTACCTGAAATTGGTAATTATTTAGTTTAGCTCACTCCAGCACCGAATTTGATGACATTAATTTGTGACTCATTTGACGTGCTTTTGATTTTTGTGGAACTTCTTATTCTTCCTCCTTTTTTAGTGCAGTTGCAATTCTGCAGTCTGCAATACTTGCAACGTACGAACAATAAAATAACGAGATATAGTGGGGATAGTCTGAGTCTGACGTGATAATCAACGAGGGAATGCTTGGTAGTGGTTGATATCAATTGACGTTTGTCTGACGAAGTGCGACAAGAATTTTATCGTCTCACCTGTCGTTCAGCATCGACATGCTGGTGTCTCTACGTCGAGCTTGCGGGCTCTTCGTAAGTGATTATTTCTTGGAAATTCATATCGCTGTATTCATGTTTACTTCTCTACATTAATACCTAACCTCAAATACCTTATATAATCTTCAATTTTTAATTGTATTGACTCTAGAAACACTTTCTTTTATAATGTAAATTACTTGTCTTTTTTTTTATTGGAAGATCATGATTTATTTAATATAAAACATGCATATCTTGTATTTAGTAACTTTACCTTATTTACCTTGTGTTCTTAGCCTTTTGCTTCTGTTAATTTTACATAAATTTATAAGATAATGAATAAAAAGGCATAAAAGATAAAAACGTTGGCACGTTCAAAAGCACAAAGCAAAAAAAGATTTCTTTAGCTTGTAAAGTTCAACAATCTGTCACTTAATTTACTTACCGTTTAATCTATCACTCATATTTAATTTAATTCTATCTTTGACAGATTCCAAGAAGTATTAGGGGAATGCAAACAACAGCAAATCATGCGTCAGATCAGCTATTTATTGTAAGTATTTCTATATAGTATAACTATACAGAACACAAGAAAATGTTAGGAGACAATTCTTTGTTGAAAATTAAGGAGAGATCTTTCATATAAACGCCTACTCTTATATTTTTCTCTGAAGAGTTACAGTCTACAGGTAAAAATTAAGTTTTTATTAATTTTTTTTCAAATTTTAGACATATGTAAAAAATTAAATTTTGTGAACATTTTTCATTATTAAAAAGAAAACTAAAAAAAAAAAATCTAATTTTTACTTCTTCCTTTGAAGAAATGTAATTTGTCAGGAAGAGATATAGAAGTATATAAAAAACTTTTAATTTTCAACAAAGAATCATTTCCTAATGGCTTTCGCACCTACTTAGAAACATCTTGTACAATAAATAACAATAACAATTACTTTCAATCAGGATATTATATAATATTTAAATTTTAGCACAGAGACAGTGAGCAAGACAATCCTAACATACCATTCGAGTTCAATGAGGCAAACACGAAACGGATCGAGGCACTTCTCGCGATCTATCCTGAAGGCCACAAGCGCGGTGCCATGATACCTCTGTTGGACTTGGCACAACGTCAACACGGCTGGCTGCCCATCTCTGCCATGCACAAAGTCGCCGAGATATTGGACGTGCCGCGCATGAGAGTGTACGAAGTAGCCACGTTCTACACGATGTTCAATCGCAAGCCCATGGGCAAATATCATGTACAGATTTGCACTTGCACTCCATGCTGGCTGAGAGACTCTGACTCGATAGTTAATGCCGTGACGAAAGCTACAAACTGTAAACTTGGAGATACCTCCGCGGATAAGCTGTTCACCGTCTCGGAAGTGGAGTGTCTTGGTGCTTGCGCCAATGCTCCAATGTTTCAAGTAAACGACGATTATTATGTACGTATGTTTATTATCATTTTCTTTTATTTGATATTTATTTTTTTAAAGAACAATGGTAATTTTAAGCAAAAATGATGCCGTTTTATTTCTGTGTCTCTTTTTCTTTTGTAGGAGGATTTGACTCCGGAGACTGCGACAACTATAATAAATGCTTTCAAGAAGGGTGAGAGGCCACCACCAGGCCCACAGAATTCTCCAAGATTCGCAGCTGATCCTGCTGGTGGACTTACGTCGTTAACGACTCCGCCACCAGGTCCTGGATTTGGAGTTAGGTCGGATTTGTAAAATATACGTTTTTAATAAGGTGTAGTGTACATTAATAAATGTATAAAATAATTATTAATAAATATATGAAAGTAATAGATTATTTTGTTGATACATTTTTATGTGCTTAAATCATGCATACATATAATTTTACGTTTGCTCAATATATGAAATAATTTTATATGTCTCAAATGTGAATCTAGATTTATTTTTTCTTGATTACAGCTAATTTTTATTTAAAAAATAAAGCTTTGAATCAAATAATTACAAATTATAAATCTAGGTATTGTTTTAAAAGAAATACAGTTTTGTTTTTATAATTCTTGTAACTCAGGAATTTTATAATGTATGAAATATTTTATATTACTATGTATATAAAAATGTATTACATAAAATTATAATTATTATTATTAAATATATACTTTATACCATTATTAAATTCTACAATAACTTAAACATCAAGCAGCAAAGAAGTTAAAATACTCTCCAATAATTCCTTATGTTACGCTACGGTTAACGGCTGTAGGACGTATACGACATAATGGACGCGCACATTTCGAGTGATTTCGAGTTTATAGTTACTAACGCAATTTCATGGTGTTAATATTCGTGACGCCGAGTATATGTGCAGACAAGACGAACTATGGATGAACCTGTTGCAACGACTGAAAAGTCGAAGAAGATAGAAGCTATAAACAAAGAAACGATCCATCATATCTGCTCTGGCCAGGTGAGGTTAAGTATGTAATTAATAAAAAGAACATAAGTAAGCGTGAATGTAAAAACAATCAATATGTATACAATATATATACAATTTCATATTATTTTACAATTTATTGTTTATACAATTTATAATTTATATTTTTATTGTACAATTTTTTAAATATTTTTATTTTTTAATTGTAATTGTAAAGCAGTATTGTCCAAGATTTGTAAATCTGGGGTTTGATGTATATTACCATTCACGCCTGTTATCCTTTTTTTATGTCTATCTTCATTGAGAAAAAGAAAAACAATAAATATGAGCTTTATAAATTTATGGATAATATTGCTTTACAACTATAATTGAAAAATAAAAATATAATTAAAACAATTGTAAAGTATTGTAAAGTAATATCTCTTATAAGAAAAGATACTATGTTACAAATATTTTATTAGGTGGTGCTCGATCTTATGATCGCAATTAAAGAGTTAGTGGAGAATAGTCTGGATAGTGGTGCTACAGTGATCGATGTTAAACTTGCTGATTATGGTAAAACTTGCATTAGTGTCAACGACAATGGCAGTGGCGTTTCGGAACAAGACTTTGAAGGCTTAGGTAGCCCCATAAATTACGAAATAATAAACAATAGTTGGAATAATTCATTTATTTCGCGTTTTAACAAAAATTAGTTTAGTTTAGAATTTAATTTAAAATAAATCTATTAAAGAAATTAAAGAGAAATATTAAAAGAACAAAAATAGTAATTATGGTATAAGTGCTGAATGTTTAAACTTTTCTTGGAGTCACTCTCAGTTTATAATTGATGATTTGATTTAAGATATTATTAACATTTATCGATTCAATGGATCCAAATATGAAAGATCTAATTACAGTGCTGTTGCTTACATTTGCTTACATTTTACCTTTTAATATAATATGTTAGTATTATAAATCATATGAGTCCAGTAGAGATAATTATCTTAATAGTATCTTAATACAGCAACCCTTTTTTCATTCATCAGGCTTAAAACATCACACCTCGAAGCTTCGGGAATTCACAGATTTGACTGAAGTAAATACATTTGGCTTCCGTGGCGAAGCATTGAGTTCATTGTGCGCCTTGTCCGAGTTGAGCATTGTTACCAGGCATGGAATGAGTAAACATGGTTTTAAATTGGAATTTGACAAGAACGGCTTGCTTACAAAGAAGGAACCGTGTGCCAGAGAAAAAGGTACCACAGTGCATGTAAGGAACATATTCAAAAATCTACCCGTGAGAGCGAAGGAGTTTCAGAAAAATCTGAAGAAAGAATACGCGCGCGCTATCCAAGTCTTGTACAATTACTGTTTAGTGTCTACCAATGTCAAGATTACATGTTCCAATTTAATAGCGGGTAAATCGCCCAATCTTATTGTGGCCACTAGAAGTACCGATAATGTTCTGAACAATGTCAATTCTGTATTTGGCAAGAAGTCTTTGAACGGAATCGTTAAACTCGAATTACAACCTCCGGACGAAACAGTATTACAAGAATACAATTTGCCTAATGATATTACTGTAGATTTCGATTGGGAGTGTTACGTGAGCACTTGCGATCATACAGTCGGACGTTCTTCGCCCGATCGACAATTTTTTTATGTGAACGGTCGGCCGTGTGATCTCACAAAGATCAGTAAATTGGTCAACAGTGTATATCATAAATACAACAATAAACAGTATCCATTTGTCTTTTTTAATATAAAATTAGACCGGCAATGTGCCGACGTTAATGTTACTCCCGATAAAAGGACAATATTTGTTACGCAAGAACGCCTCATATTAGCGACATTAAAATTCAGTTTAACTGCAAAATGGGACAAATTGCAAGGGAATTTTACAGTCAAGACTTTGACAGAGTTAAATTTTGGTTTGAAAAGGACAATTTCGTCTAGTCATATGCAACCACCAGCTAAAAGATTACAAGTATCACCTTCTGCATCGTATATTACGAAAGAAAGTGATATTCAGACTAATATTAAATCAATGAAAAAACCTGTAGATATTGACATGGTGATAAGTATAATAACAATAAAAGAAAAATTAATCGAAAAAGTGAATGTCGCTAAAACACCTTCTAGTACTGCTAAAAGAATAAAATATAGAGTACAAATGGAAGCTAATCAAGGCGAAGCTGAAAAAGAACTGCAAAAAGAATTAACAAAAGATTCATTTGGCAAAGTTAGTAATGTATATATAAAAAATGTACATATAATTTTCATTGGATAATTGTTTACTATACATCGCTTATTTGCTTTAACGATATAACTAAAAAATTATCATTTTGCAATTGCTTTAAAAAATGTGTGTGTGAAAAAATAAAGTATATATTTTTATTCCTCTACAATCAATTGTTTCATCAAAAAATTAATATCACAAAATTATAATGATTCAAACTCATTTTCTAGAAAACTTTGCTCTTTGAATTGTATCATTGTTGTAGCAAATGAGCGAGATATGTAATATACTTCATTATATATACCATTATTAAATTTATAATTTACTATGTAATTTTCATTAACGTCGAAACATTATAGATGGAGATAATAGGTCAGTTTAATCTTGGTTTCATAATAGCTCGTTTGGAGGACGATTTATTTATTATCGACCAACACGCCACTGACGAAAAATTTCGCTTCGAGAAGCTCAGTAATGAAACAAAGCTGAAAACTCAGAAGCTTATTGTACCAAAATCGCTGAATTTCTCTGCATTAAATGAAACGATACTTATAGAACATCAACAAATATTCGAAGATAATGGATTTACCTTTAATATTAATAAGCAAGGTATGTATTTAATTCCTATAATTTTTATTATTTTACAATTAGTTCTAGATTCATTATTTTATTAAAAAAAAAAAAAAAAAA